GCCAAAAAAAAAAAAAAATTTAACAATATTTTTTTTTTTTTTTCTTTTTTCCCCTGTATCAAAAAAAAAAATGGAAAAATTAATTTTTTTTTTTTTTTTTAAAGTCAAACTCCTGGGAAACCGCTGTTTTTTTTTTTCAATCCGTCTTTTTATAAAATAAAGGGAAAGTTTTTAAAAAAAAATTAGTTTTTTTTTTAAGAAAAAGATGAATTCCTTTTTTAAAAAAGTTTTTCCTTCCTTAGATTTCCCCTTTTTTTTTAAAGAATTTTTGTGAAGTTTTTTTTTTTGAAATTTTTAAAAAGCAAAAAAAAAAAAAAGCTTTTTGCTTTTTTTTTTTTGGCCAAAGCCTTTTTTTTTTCAGCCCCAAGGTTTTTTTTTTTCTTTTGGAAAGGAGGTTTTTCCCCCAAGAAAAGTAAAAAATGATTCCTTGGGAAAAGGGAATTTCCCAAAGGTTTTAAGGTGGAAAAAACAAAAAAACTTGCCTTTTTTTAAAAAAAACGAAAAAGCCAAAATGGCTTGAAAAAAATGGCTTTTTTTTGAGTTAAAGCTTTTTTTTCTTCCCCCCTGGGACCATTTTTTTTGTTTGGTTGGGTGGCGTTTTTAAAAAAAAACCCAGATCCATTAGTTCAAAATTCTCTCTTTTTAACCTCCCTTCCGAATTTTTTTTTGTTTTAAAAACACTGGCGGGGACCCCCTTCCCCCTTAAGCCCAGAGGGTTTTGGCTTTCCTTTTTGCCCAAAGACCCTCCCCCACCCCACCCCTTGTTTTGTTTTCCTGGTGTTTTCTTGGAACTTTCAAAGGGAAAAATTTTGTTTGTTTTTTTGGGCCACACAGCCTTTTTTCAAGAACAAGCGCGGATGCCCCTTTATTAAAAATCCCATTTTTCAGCCCCCGGTGGTTTTGGACGGTGGAACAGGACCCCCCCAAAAACCCTTGCAAAAAAAAAGCTTTTCCCAATTTAAAAAATTTTTGCCCCTGAAGAAATGAATTTGTTTTTTTTTTTTGGGGCAGAAATTTTGTGGCTGGAAAAAAACCCCAAAATTTCCTGGAAAAAAAGAGGAAAAAAAAGTCAGATGGTGAAGTTTTAAAAATCTTTTAAAAAAAAGGGTCTTTTTCTTCTTTTTTTTTTTTTTTTTTTTTTTTTTTTTTGGGGGGGAGGGAAAAAAAACCTTTTTTTTTTTTTTTTTTTTTATTTAAGAAAGTTTTCAATTTTTTTTTTTTTTTTTTTTTTCCTTTAAAAATTCTTCAACCTTTTTTTTCCTTTTTTATCCTTTTTTTTTTTGGGCCCCCCCTGCCCCTTGCTGGGTAAAAAAAAACCCCAAGAAATTTTTTTCTTTTTCACCACAAGAAAAAGAAAATTTACAAAGCTGAAAAAAAAAAAAAAAAAAAGAAACAAATTTTTCTTTTTAAACTTAGTTTTTAAAAAGAAATAGGAAAGAAAGCCAGTAAAAAAAACAATTGGGGAAAAAAAATTTTGTCCCTTTTGTCTTTTTTCTTTTGGAAAACATTTTTATTTTTTTTTTTTTGAAAGGAAAAAAAAGGGAGGTTTTTTTTTTTTCCCTTTCTTCCAAACTTAATTTTTTTGGTTTTTTTTTTTTGCTTTTTTATTTTTGCCAAACCTAAAGGCAATAAAAATTTCTTTTGGGGGAAAAAAAAGAAGGCAGGGAAAAAATACCCCCAAACGGAGCATAAAAAAATCTTTTTTTCTTTTTTCCCCCTTTTAAACCAAAAATTTTTTTAAAAAACCCATTTACTAAACAAAGAAAAACTTTTTTTTACTTCACCCTTTTTCAAAAGGCATTCCAAAGCTTGTTTTTTTTTTTTTTTTAAGCCCCACCTTAACCAACCCCTTCTTTTTCTTTTTTTGAAAATTTCTTTTTTTTTTTTCAAAAATCCCCAACCAGGCCCCTGGCAATAAAAAGTGGTTTTTCAACTTTGGAAAATGCTTTTTTTTTGCAAGAAAAAAAAATGAAAAATTGAAAATAGACAAAATGTCCCCAAATAATTAGGGGAAAAAGGAAGAAGGTTTTTTTTGAACCCCAAAAAACTGAAGAAACAACCCTGGGGAATTCTTTTTGTAAGAATACTCCCAAGAATGTTTAAAAAAAGAAAAACCCAAAAGAAATCCAAAGTTTTCTTTTTTTTTTTTTTTCCTTGTCCTAAGCCAAAAAAAAAATAAAATTTTTTAAAAGTAAAAAGTAAATTTTTAATTTTTTTAAAAAAGGAAAGGAGAAAAGAATTTAAAGAAAATAGATTTTTTTTTTTTTTTTTTTTTTTTTTTTGGTTTTTTTAAACTTTGAAACCCCAAATGATTTCCTTTTTTTTTTTTCCCCCTTTTTGAAAAAACCAAAGTTTAAAAAAAAACTTTTTTTTTTTAAAAAATTTCCGAGGGAAAAGAAAAATAAATTTTTGGAAATTTTTGCTGGAAAAAATAAAAAAGGGGTTGGAAATAAACCTTGTGAAGAAAGCCTTTAATTGTAAAAGAGTGGCCCAAAACCAAAAACTTTTGGGGGGAAAAAAATGATGCGTGTTTGTGGTTTTTTTTTTTTTTTTTGGTTTCTTTTCCAGGGGGCAAAACCCCTTTTTTCCCCAATTTCCAAGCTTTAAAAAATTTTTTTGCTGGGCTTTTCCCATTCCCGTTTTTGTCCCCTAAGGCTTCCCCAGCATTTTTTTTTGCAAAAAAACCAAAAAGAACTTTTGGCCCCTTTTCCTTTTTTGTGGGGCAAGCCCCCCTTGCGGTTTGTTTTTGTTTTCCTATTTAAAAAAAGGAAATTTGCCCCAAATGCCCCACAAAAAGAGCCCACTTTTTTTTTGGGTCCATCGGAAACTTAAATTTTTTTAAAAAAACACCCCTTTTGCCCTTTGAAATATTCGAAGACCAAAAACATTTTTTTTTTTTTTTAAAACTTGGAGTTTTTTCCTACCAGTTTTTGGTTGTTCCGAACCTTTTGTTTTCTGGTCCCCCCCCGCATTTTTTTTAAATTTTTGTTTAACCAAAATCAAAAATTTTAATTTTTTTCAAATGAAAAACCTTTAATTACTTTTCCGTTTTACATCCCAAAAAAAAAATTTTTTTTTTTTTTGTTAATTGAATTAAGAAAAAAACAACTCAAAAGGGTGGGAAGTTTAACTAGCCTTAAAAAAGGTTTCTTTGGTGCAAAAAAGCTTAAATTTTCAAAGACAATTTTATTTTTTTTCAAGAAAAATCCAAAAGAATTTTTTTTAAAAAATTTCTTAGGGCTTTTAAAAAACTTTTTTAATTCCCAAATTTTTCCAAAAGTTTAAAATTTTTTCAACAAGGGAAAAAGGGCCAAAAGTATTTAAATTTGAAAAAGAGGTGGGGGCCGCAAAAAAGTGGCTTTTTTTTTTTTTTTTTCAAAAAGAAAGAACACTACACGTAGATACACCTGCCTTCGCAGTACATGACATCAAAAGGCAATGTCATTTTTGTTTCCATTAGTTGCGTTTGGTCATTCGGCTAAAGTAGTGTCTATCAGACTTCTCCCTTGTTTTCCCTTTGTTAATAGTAATCCAGAAGGCGAAACTTTGAGGCTGTGAATATCCTGTTCAGCCATTCACTCAATGGTTTTACATCCATTGGTGGTTCTTACCCAAATCAGAAAAGTGGTGACTTTTTTTTTTGAAACAGAGTGTACTGTGTCACCTGGGCTAGAGTGCCGTGGCGTCAGCCTCGCTCACAGCAACCTCGCTCACAGCAACCTCAAACTCCTGGGCTCAAGGGATCCTCCTGCCTCAGCCTCCCGAGTAGCTATGACTACAGGCATGCGCCACCATGCCCGGCTAATTTTTTCTATATATTTTTAGTTAGCCAATTAATTTCTTTCTATTTTTAGTAGAGACGGGGTCTCGCTCTTGGTCAGGCTGATTTCGAACTCCTGACCTTGAGCGATCCGCCTGCCTCGGCCTCCCAGAGTGCTGGGATGACAGCACGAAAAGTGGTGACATTCTAGTTATACCTTCTGTATTTCTTAACTGGCATTTGGGGAAAAGGATCTTTCCCTCCTCTTCCCCCTTTTTTATTATGTGCTTAGGAGTTTTTAAAATTAACTGTATTATCACAGTTATCAATTTTTAAAATTCAATATGGTAAAATCCATTTTTGTCATTTTATGACCACATTGTCCAAAGGGTGGCCAACAGGAGCCTCCTTCAAGTTGGCTCATGTGTCCTGACAGGTCTCCTTCCATTTTCAAAGCAGTTCCTCACTTTCTTATGCAAGGTGTTTCAGGTTCACCTTGTAATTTTCTTGCCTTGGTCTTAGAAATCAGCCTTTTCTCCAAGTAAATTCTGATTTATTTGAATGGAAATAGTAGTTAGAAACCAAGGTCGGGTGCCAAGTATGCTGATTGCTATTGAGGTGTCTCTGCTTCTAGGCCTTTTCTGTTGACAGAGCTAGTAAATTATGTAATTTTTTAAAACAAGTTTATACTGGTACCTCAATTTCTACTCTACTACTACAAGATTCTTCCTTTTCTTCCACAGTGAGAAACCTTGTTCCCAATGACAGAAATATATTCATTTGATCTATCTACAATACATACAAAATGATTGAGTCACAATAAACCAGTACCACAAACTTAAGTTCAACATTTCCAGTTCTTTTCATAGAAATCTCCCTAAAGATATTCAAATTGCACTTGAATTTTTTTCTGAGTGGTTGTATTAATCTGAAATATAGTTTGTTTAATACAGGCTCATTGTTTAAATCAGCAAAGGGGAAAAAACTAAAACCAAATGCAATTCTTTTTGGAATTTTTTTTTAATATATAAAACTTCTTGAGGACCAGAGAGAAACCAAGAACATGGGACATTTTGGAAATGGAGTCACCACCACAGGCACTCACACGGCCTTTGACTTGTACCCCAGTAGCTAGTCAAGTCTTTGCTGGGACCCTACCTCCTAAAATTGGACTTCACCTTCTTAAGTCATAAAGGAATAAAAAGCAGTTAAGAGCAGTTGACCTTTTTCCCTCTTTCAGAGCACTTGCGGAGTTCAGTGATTGATCGAAAAGACTTAATAATCAAAAGGATTAAGCCAAAGCCCCAGCAGGGAGACGACATCACAGTGGTGGACGTGGAGAAGCAAATCGAGGCCTTCCGCAGCCGCCTGGTCCAGATGCTGGGGGAGCCGCTCGTCCCCCAACTCCAAGACAAAGTGCACTTGCTGAAGCTGCTCCTCTTCTACGCCGCGGACTTGAACCCTGACGCGGAGCCTTCTCAAAAGAACTGGGGCAGCTCCTGAGGGCCTTCTACGCACTGGACACCAAGAATACCTCCTGGACTCTGTCTCCAACTACTTAGAAGCTCTAAAAGTATGAAAAGTAGTTAATCTTACAGGACCAAACCTATCTTATTTACCTATAGGTTGTAATAACTTTCTCCTTAGTAAATATTTTTTTTAAAATCCTATCCTAATCTGTTCTCAAATATGGCTTCAATATACAAGGTGTATATATTTTTTAATAAATTATTTATCTATACTTTTTTGAAACAGGTAAGACTACACACATTCTGTGTTTAACATTTCAGGATGTGAGCAAGGAATCCCTCTGCTGAACAAACTCTATACATCAATGTTGTGTCATTCAAGGTTCTGACAACCTGTTTCTGAAGAGAGACATTCACTTTTCCCTAATGGAACACAAATATTCTATACTAGACCTGTTATAATGCCTATGAATTTGACTTTGTGGCCAGTCTGTTACTATCCAATGTAATGAAGGGGGTAGAAATAAAACAATTGAGTGTGTTATAAAACATTTGATGTTAAAGGATAAAATAAAAATGCAACAATTTTTCAAAATACCAAGTTTACCATGCTTAGGTTCCATGACTATGGGTAGGCAGAATGGAGTATTCTTAAAAGTACAAAAAAAATAGATATCCACACTTGAGAAAGTAGTAAGGATTTTTATTGTCAAAACAAGAGATCATAACAGAAGACACAAATAAATTAATTGTTCTAATAACTATAGACTCCAGGGCATCTCTACGGAAAGGTCAGCTCCTTAGGTACTGATAGATACAGACTATCCAAAACAAAGACAAGTATGAGACAGGGCTCGAGACAGTGACTGAACGTGTACAGAGTGAGGAGAAATAAAAAGGCAGTTTCCCTATTTCCTTTCCTCGGTACGGTATGTGTTGCATAAAGGAATGAGGCTCATCTTGGTGACAAATGCTTTTATATAGACAATTTTGAATTCTTCCATCTCCTCCCCACAAAAAATTCAGGCCCTGACCTGATGATGAACAAGGAAATTAAGGTGACACTACTTTCACATGAACTGAAGACTATGATCTAATTATAGTTACCATCTTTATTTAACATCCATTTACCTATACCAAATCAGTAGACTGAATTTTCTCAGGAAGTTTTCAACCAAATTGGAGTTAAATTAATCTCACATTAAAGTGCAAAAAAGGATATGCAAGACTAGTGTTTGTTCTATGATATAAAAAAGAAACATCCCTCTAGTAACACTGGCCCGAGAGGTACCACATGAATAACTTGCTGAAGGCAAAGTCTGATTATGAGGTTTGCCAAAACGCAAGACGATTCCAGTTTCAGCTGGAAAGAGGTCCCTGCCAAGTCTGGCTTTTAACTGCACCCAGGCCTCAAAAACAGACCTTAGGCCCACCCACCTGCCAGGGCTGGCGCACAGCACCAGTGCAGTCAAGAGGCCCACAGGTGTCTCAGCTAGTGAGTGGGCGCCTCCGTGCCACGGTTTGTCAGTGTTCACGTTGATCGTGGTGAAAGAATCAAGCAGCCTGAAGTTCTAGAACAGCACGAACAGTAATTACCTAGTAAGCAATGATCAAACTCTCGTCTAGGGCAAACGACACAAAAATAGGTCATCAGTCCCCCCATACACCACTGCTGAGATGTGATCTCACTTGACAGCAGCACAAAATGGATTCTCCCACACAAGGGCAAACTTTGCACTAATGTTTCTCTAAAACCAATTATGTCTTCAGGTCTAGCCTTAGTTTAAGAGGTTTGTTAAAAATACACCTTTCCTATGTCAGAGCCAAGGTAAAAGGGGAGTGGGGCTCTAGAAGCCAGTGGGTGTGAGCACATTCAGGTCCCGGGGTTTGAGGCTGTGGGTCCGCGGGGGTTGCGTCTTCCCTTCCATCACGGGCACGTCCATCTTGGGTGGCTTGAAGGTTGCTGGATCTTCAGCCATTCTCGTGGCCTGGGCTCGGATCAGTTCCATTGGAGAGGGTTTCTGGGCTCCTCGGTAGGCTTGTGTGGCAAAACTTCCTAGAGGTAAACCAGAGAGCAAATGATTTCAAAACCAATAGGTAGCTCCTGATTTATGACATGGCAGAATGCCTGCCACTTTGCTTCCATTTGTGAAGGCACTGCCCTTACCTGAATCATACTTCTGGAGGGGTCTTGTTCCAAAGAAGCTCCATTTATCTGATGGGTTTCTGTCCTTATCCCCACTTCCAGAATCCATGGTACCAGGATTGGGGCCAGGTAAGGCTGTGGAAGAGCCGGAAGTGAACCAGCCTCTGGAAGAGAGAATAAAACCTAATATATTCTCTTCCTACACCCTTAGAAGTGTCTCACACCAAAAAATAGGAACTGTGAACAAGCCCTTCTCACTCAGAAGCCAAAGGCCCAAATACAGCTTCGTCCTTGGCACTAGTGTCCCCCAGAAGCACACGGACACTCGGGTCACGGGAAGGGCTCACCTGGGCCTGTGCTTAGGGGAAGAATGAGGGGTGCTGCTTGGGGTGGACTGGGCTGACGCAGGCTGCTTCTCTTCTTTTGTTATCTCTCCACTCTGTAGCTTTAGTTTCTGTTCAGATGGGTAAGAAGAGAGACTTTAAATGACTGCAAATCTAAAATAGCTACTAAACAGCTGAGTCTAGGCACAAACAATTTGGTTCACATTCTAACTTTAGGCACAAGGAAAAACATCCATAGGTGGAATGGTTTTAGATGATCCAGCACATATTCCCTTTGTTTTGCCATACTAGATGGAATCCCATCTTTTAAAAGACGTATTCATCCTACAGCATATCGCAAACATCTCTGTATTAGAAGCTCTACACCAGAGCTTTTAGTTTCAGAAAAGTGAATTTCCCCACACGCACTCAGCCAGTGAAGTGGAAGGGCCAGAACGCAAGCTGCAGGCCTTGGACTTTTAAGCAGGGCCTTGAGCTCTTCTCTCACCGCCTTTCCTACTGCGTACACGCCCTGCCATTCCTGGTCTCGCAAAGCCAGGACTGAGGCATGCTGCTCTGCAGCTGAACACCTCCGCTGTGGAGCCTTACCCCAGTCTCTCCTCCTCTCCCCTAACTCCTAACTCAGGGGTCTCTTAGAATTGTAAGCAAACCTCAACAGACTAGCAGTCTAGGAGAGAGACAAATCTACTACTCAGTTCTAGAGCAAGGCTCTACCCTCCATGCCTATGCCACTGCCTAGTCCAAGCTACATTCCAAACAATGCTTGAATTTTCTCAAACATTCAACATGCCAATTTATATATAAGATGACAATCTGATATAAAATGGGGCTCGTTACACCTAGCATTTCAGCTGTCCTCATGTTGTACTCCTGTGGGCAGGACGCGGAAAATAGGCCGACCAAAGTCAGTCCTGCCATCATGTAAGGTGAACTGCTCAAATGGGATTCTAACTGACCTATCCTAGAAAGTTCTCAATTAAGTGTCAAAAGCTGACACAGTACCCCTCTCTGGAAGCATCTGTCTTTTCTGAGAGTTTAAACTGGCCACCAGCCCAACCCTGATCCCCTATAGCAGTGGTTTTTAAACGTAACCTGCAAAAGAATCATGTGGAATGCTCATTACAAAATGCAAACGGTCCACAATGTCCTATATCCTTTCCCCAGGCCACCAGATCCATGTCATCCCTCTTGGGTGCTATATGGATATACAGCACCCATATGCTACGTATCATGACCTTTCCCTGCCTTCCATGCTCTCCTCACACCCCAGCAGAACTCTTACAATAAAGCTTGTAACAGGGTTGGGTTACGACCCATCCTTGCCTACAGGAGGAAGTTCCAACTTCTGAGCTATGTGCCCCTTCATAATCTGTCTCTGCCCTCCCTTATGAGCCCCTTCAGTAGCCAGATTCTCAGACTATTCTGGAAGGAGGAAAAAACCAACAGGAAGTAGGGCATCAGGAAACTTGCTGAGTTCGGGTACTGTCACTGGCTACACCTACGACCACGGACCTCACTTTCTTCACTTACGGAGAACACTATCTGCTTCAAAGGATTAATGTGAAGAAAGTGAATGCAAGGGCTTCACAAGTTATAAAACCCTATTCGGTATGAAATGGTATTCCCTGAAAGTTATTTGAAACTATTCACTCAAATATTTATTTATCATTAAATTAACCCGTATCAAAATTATTCATTCACTATAGAAATGAAATAGCAAAAACATTCCAATTCCACATTTGATTTTAACTTGTTAAAAATTAAATATAAAGTTTATAATGCTCCTTCCCAGTGCATCTGTTACCTCTGTTAAATCTGCCAGTTCTCCTCTCCCCCTCAAGGTCAATCACTGTGGCACATGAAACAATCCGCATTTGCTCTATGGCTCATAAAGTACTCACAAATAAGCTGAGAATTGCATTTGATCCTTCTAACCAGAAGTAAGCAAAACAGACACCCCCACTTTATAGATGAAGAAACAGAAACTACAAGGCTCAGAGCTCAGGAGCCTGCAGCCTGCCACTATCCCAGGTGGGACTAACCCAGTTCCCAATTCCTTTGCCCAACTTCCTTCCAACCACTCTCCACCGCTCCCAGCTAGCTGAGCTGGGCACTTCGAACCCGCAGCCACATTTCAAGCCATGGATGCTGACGGCTTTGTTTCCTGGGAGTCCCTAAGAAAGCAGCTTACGTGCAGCGCTTCTGCCACTCGAAGGTACTTGCTCTCCTCGGTGGTGAGGCCCTTGTGGGGTGTGTAGCCAGCATCTCTCAGCCCCGCCTGCTGCTCGAAACGCTGGATGCTCTCCTGGGTCTGCTCTAGGGACAGAGGAAACGACGGTCACGCCCATCCCTACTCCCAGCACGAGCTGAGAGGAACACAGACAGCTGCTGTTCTCCCCCAAAGGGGAGACCACCCTGGCCACCCGACGAGGAGGGCTTGCTCGCCCAGGGAGGCCTCACAGCAGCAGTTCCTGACCCCACGCGCTGTGTCTCTAACCAGAAGGGAGCCTGCCCTCACACCAAGCTGAAGAACCGCCAGGGAAACACCCCTCGTAGCCGCAGGCTGGGACACTGCCTTTGCATCTAGAGATGCAGCATGGAGGCGGCGGCTGACGTTCAGACAGTAAAGAG